TACATATACGAATTACCTACGGCAGCACACTTGCAATGCCGTAGGTGTTGTGGGTGATCATGGGCGGCGGTAGTCACTTACCGTGGAAGGCTCGTGCTCCGGCACGAGATGGCCGTGGGAGCGGTGAGACGATGGACACCTAGCGGCGCTTTCTAGCGCCGTTGGGTGTCCCTTGGCTCTGAAGTGGATCGCCGGGCTGCGGATGGCGGGATACATCCAAAACCCAACACGAGACTGGAGATCCGGGAGTGGTGCGCTGCGTATTCCCGGCGCACCACTCGGAGTGGTCCCGTAGGGGAACGGCGCTGCTGGTGACGCGGAAGACTGCAACCGCGAGCTCTCGTCACCGGCACATGGCGCTGAGAAGAATACCGGGGTGTTTTTAGTGGGTAAAAATTCCACAGTACCCACCGTCATCCCGCCGGCGGATGGGTCTCTTTCTGAAAATTTTCACCCTAGTTAAAAAAAAAAGGTGGGTTTACCATTCTATACTTATTAAAAAAGAAAAGTGTGCTGATATCCAATAGAAGTGCAAATCAAAAATCGATTAAAACCTATTCATTTGTTACTAATTTCGTTTAAAAACTGTTCCAGTGATAAATCTAATTAAAACTTGGTCACATTTCCATCGAGTTCAATTGAAATGGTCCGTAAGCCCGTTAATCTCTAAATGTACGCGCCAAACTTAATTGTGAAGTGCTGAAATCTCCCCCCCCCCAGAAGCCTCGCTAATGGTTTTTGAAATAATTTCTGGCAATTTAAACGCCGACCTCTATGTTTCGGGTCGCTGTGGCATAGCATCGGGTATGGTCGTGATTACTTCGGTTATGTTTATATTCACGCCAAGTTCTTTACGGGGTAGGCAGAGAGGATTATGCCGGATACCTACATATCTTCATCTTGTATCACAACTCGTCTTATGATTTTTTTTTATACTACTTAGAATGGCAAACAAGCCGACGATTCACCTGATGGAAAGTGGTAATCGTCGCCTATAGACATGAGCAGTACCATGGACATAACAGAGTATACTGTTTCGTCCATGATACCCCCATGTGTTGCCATTCCTGAAGATTCAGGTGTTCCTCTGTACCCAGTTAATTCACGCCATATTTTTATATTCACGCCAAGTTCTGTACGGGGTAGACAGAGAGGATAATGCCGGATACGTATGTGTTCATCCTCTATCACAACTCGTCTCATGGTGTACATGAGTATTCGTGTCTAAAGCTTAGTATTTCAGTTATTTGCTTATTTATAATTAAATTTCTAATAATGAAACCTACTTGTCTGAACTATTATATATATATATATATTGATCACGGAAAATTAAAGAGTTCCCGTGGGATAGTTAAAAAACTACAGTAACTTATACAGCTTTGTACACGACCTACTTAAGTAAAGTCATTATGACCTAAGGCAAAGAGTGAGAACGACACGGCATTTGTTAATTTGGGTCCAGTATTCTCGGACATAGTTCACTACAGTAAGGAGGTTAAAAATGTTAGTCGAAGCTATAACAAATGTTACGCAGACAAAGTAGCGGGCAGCAGCTAGTTTGTAATATTTATTATGGACTTGATACTTAAAAAATAAAAAAAATACCTATTAAATTGAAAATCTTCTTTTGAAAGCTTAAAACTGAATTTATAGTCGGCAGTGTATTAAAATTTTCCACTGTTGTTTATGAAGTTTTCGCTCGTAAGCTGCCTTTAATAATAAAAGAGATTCTAATAATTAAAGCCTTGTTGTACAACGCCCCCGGCCTTGAACTGTCTGCGGGGATAGGACGAGCATTAGGCAAATTAGAAAAACTTTGAGTGATCATGACCTTTGTTGAGTTTGCCAAATAAGTAAGATTGACATGTTTCTCTAACAGTTAGAAGAATTTAAATAGGTAGACACATTTAGATATGGATACTCTTTATTGTTTCGTACAAAAGATTACAATAGTAAACTTATTATAGATGTAAACAACTAGCGATCTGCTCCCGATTCGCACGGGTGCAATGCCACATCGCTATGTCCTTGCATTTTAATTTAAAATTTTATATTAGACTAGTGACCCGCCCCGGCTTCGCACGGGGGCAACGCTGATACCAAATATACCTACCTACTACAAAATGTCCTTATAAACAACGTTAACAGCTTTTTTGTCATTAGACTATACAAACATGATAAAGTGCTAAAGGGCGAAGAAGCGCGGTCTTCTACGTGCCACCGCACCGCTATGTCCCCTGCATTTTAAAACTGTAATATCTTCGGAAATATTCATTTAAATTACATGCTGTAAAGGGCCATATTGGTCTATATTAAATGGACAATGTATTTAAGGTACATAATTGGATAAAAAATAATGCTGTATTGTTTAAAATCACTTCGTAAATAAGCCATTTTCCCGTAAAATGTAAAGAAAAAATGGTTATTGTGGGTTATCCTTAAGAGATACTACAATATTATGCTTGTATTATACATATAAACCTTCCTCTTGAATCACTCTATCTATTAGAAAAACCCGCTTCAAAATCCGTTGCGTAGTTTTAAAGATTTAAGCATACATAGTGACGGACAGACAGCGACAGCGACTTTGTTTTATACTATGCAGTGATTACAAGAAATAATCACAATGAGAAAACAATGGGCGACCTTACTGCTAAAAACTATCTCTTTCAAGCAACCTAATATACTGTTTAGTCATCATCATTCACTGCTGAACATCTCCCCCTTGGGGTGTTTTACCAGTAGTTACCACACTTGGCAGACGGACTGGCAACCGCAGTCAGGCTTTAGAGATGTTTTAAGAGGGACGCTGCTGCTCCCTCTGGTGTTTTAAATTAAGTCTTAAATTTGTTGTAATATATAATAACTTCTCGTAGACGGCTGCTAAGTCGACTATTACATCGCGCTCAGAGCTAAGCTCCTCGGGTCTCGAGGGGCACTTGAGCGTCGGAGCAAATAGTATCGTTCATTCATAAATACTCACTAGTGTTTGCTTCACAGATTTACTGCATGCTGGTTCGATAGCATTACTTATTTATCTACTTGTAGATTTTTACCCGACTGCTCTAAAATGGAGGGTAATGTGTTCATGAGTATACATGTTTATGTATTCACTTTCAAACTTTCGCGCTGCATGTTTTATGGTGTAAGATATGGGAATTGATGTCATAATTTAGATATATACTCGTGAATAAAACAAAGAAATCGTTTGATTTTGTTAATGAAAATTTTTAATTATGAAATCGCTTAAGTGGATGCATTTTATTCGTTTTGAAATGTTAATATCAGTATTTATTTTGTCTCCTTCTCGCGTAGAACAAAATCATTTTTTTAACCGACTTTAAAAAGAAGGAGGTTCTTAAATGTAGTTGTATTTCTTTATGTTTGTCACCTCACAACTCCGTCAGTTGTGAACCGATTTGGAAAATTCTTTATTTATCTGAAAGGATATACTTACAGATTGGTTCTATGGATGTTTTATTAAAATCGCTACAGTAGTTTAGTTTTTGAATGGAAATTTTTTTTCCACGATTAAAGTCTTTTTTTTTTTCGTGGAACACGTCCTTAATTATTTTTATACATAGAATGGCAAACAAGCTGACGGTTCATTTGATGGAAAGTGGTAACCGTCGCCTATAGACATGAGCAGTGCCCATGTACGCCACAAAATACACTGTGATAGTCATGGTACTTCCTTTAATGGCGTATCCCTTACTTGTGCCCCTTCAGTGTATACCGATAGCGCAGGCGGAGTTACCAGATCATTATCACACCCTTTAAAAAAAACCATGGTGTACGGTATATCCGTACTCTGTAATTTCAAGCAAATGGTGTGCTTGACCACAGTAGAGCCATAAACTAAAGTTTCATCCCAATCATCTGGACGAGTGGCGGTCTTCCACCGTACGTTTTTCAAGGCACTTTCTTCCACGCACAACCACTCTTTGGTATCAACTTCCAGCAGCAGTATTTCCGAACCGATACGACAACATAACCTTCAAGAAAAGAGTATATTCCTTTTTAAAAGGCCGGCAGCACACCTGCAATGCCGCTGGTGTTGTGGGTGATCATGGGCGGCGGTAGTCACTTACCATCAGGTGAGCCGCATGCTCGTTTGCCCCCTGTGTTGTAAAAAAAAGTAAAAAAAATAGAAAAAAACATTTAAAAAACAAAGGTTGACTAATAGAGAATGCCTATAGCATTAAGTTCGCCTCTTGTGCCACATTTCATTGGTTAGTAAAGTTTAAATAAATAAATATACTTACCATCAGGTGAGCCGCATACTCGTTTGCTCCCTGTGTTGTAAAAAAAAAACACAGCTGCTTCATGGTTAAAACACCGGTGGGACAGAGGTATCCACGCGGATGACTTTAATACAAAATCGGTTTCTGGTACTACCACCTACGGGAACTCGACTCGAACCGTGTCACTTGAATTATGTACACAGATAGCGGGTCGGTGCAGCAAACTTGTAATGAAACTGCATTGTTTACTACACCTGCACTCGTCGAAGCAATCTGCATTTGAAATGTGCATTGTAAAAACATAATAAATATGCCCACCAGCTGAGGTATTGGTTTTTCGTGTTTTAAAGATATATACAGCAGAATAATAAGTGCTGATTTGCATAATAGGTAAATAGTAATTTTTTTATACAACTTAGAATAGCAAACAAACTGACGGCCCACCTGATGGAAAGTGGTAACCGTCGCCTATAGACATGAGCAGTACCATGGACATAACAGAGTATACTGTTTCACCCATGATACCCCCCATGCGGTGCCATTCCTGATGACTCAGGTGTTATTCCTCTGTACCCAGTAAATTCACGCCATATCCCACCCTTCAAACCGAAACACAGCCATGCAAACACAACTGCTTCACGGTTGAAACACGAATGGGACAGAGGTACCCAAGCAATCGACTTTTGTACAAAGTCTCCCTCTGGTAACTATTACTTAACATAACAACATCTAAAATATGTGATGTTTTTCTTTCAGGCGGCGATGACCAGCTGGATCCAGGCGTGCGGTTCCTGTCCGAGCCCCTGGACGCGGTCGTGGCGGAGGGGGACAGCACGACCCTGGCCTGTTCGGCTGCAGCACACCACCCCACGAGGCTCACGTGGCGGCACAGTATCACAGCACCACCCACCAGGGATCATACGCTCTCCCTCACTGATAAATATAGGTAAGAATCTAAGTGCTTGATCATCATCAGGTCATGACCTTCCGTTGTGGGTTCGATGTCCGAAAAATATAAATGTTTGCATTAGAGAGTATGTCTGTTTGTCTAGGTGTTTCCTCTTTATAACATGCTAGCTTTATCCCGCGGCTTCATCCTTACCTATTATCTCCCATTACCCACTAGTACCCCGCTAGCGTATACTGATAGCGTACTAGGGTTGTCATTCCATTTTCATTCCTTTTTATTTTAAGGGCTTTTACCTTCTTCAGGTATACCAGTCCTATCGTACCCTGAACTGACTTCTCAAATAAAGTTTTATCTACTTTCCCTAGACGCGGAAAGAGAGGAATTAATGGGCATCAATAAATTACAGAGATTTTCCAAAATTTCTGATTTGGGTTCAGCTAATATATGTAGATTTTTTTTTGATGGATGAAAATGGTATGGTAACCCCGTCTGCGCTAACGGGATACGCTGCCGGAGCACCAGTGAAGGGTGATAGGTGAGAATGAAAACAGGCCAGTTAGCCCATCATGATGAATTCATCAGGAATTAACCATGATAGTTTCCAGGGAGAACCGCAAGGAGGTGGACCTGGTTGGGTATATTGCTAGCAATGGGATTCTCAGTCTCCATTACTAACAATCCCTTTCCCTTCAATATATGTAGATTGAATAACACCAATAGTTAATTGATTCAGACTAAAGTGGCGCATGAGTTCTTCTTTTTCCTTCGTGTTTATACGACACTAACACTATATGTTGCACATCATCGATGGCATCACAAACTGGACAATTGGGTGACCAAAACTTTCAGATCAGATGTCCAATTTTTTGATGGATAATGGCCATAAAAATCCCTTTGGCGATGTAGATTGTCTCGATACCATGGCACGCCCCTTCAAAATCCAAAGAACTAATGTGTGAGTAAAAATATTTCCAAGGTTTCAACCATGGAATATAATACTCCTCTGGCTGGACCGCTACTGATGTTATCTCACAGACTAACCAGAGGGAGAATTTGTACAAAAGTCGTTTGCTTGGCCACCTCTGTCCCATTCGTGTTTCTACTGTGAAGCAGTTGTGTTTGCATGGCTGTGTTTCGGTTTGAAAGGTGGGATATGGCGTGAATTTACAGGGTACAGAAAAATAACACCTGAGTCGTCAAGAATGTAATGCATGGGGGGTATCATAGACGAAATAGTATGTTATGGCTATGGTACTGCTCATGTCTATAGGCGACGGTTACCACTTTCCATCAGGTGGGCCGTCAGCTTGTTTGCCATTCTAAGTTGCAAAAAAGACACAAATGGAGCAGGTCTGTATATAGATAGACACATGTAAGTGTAAGGGGCATGCCATGTTATAGTAGACAATCTATACACGTTTTTGCCATGCAAATTTAGATTTTATGTCTTTGGCATAGGGAAACTTATTTTTATACGAATACCACATCTAATTTCCAGAAAGCAGCTGACGAACGGGTCGCTACAAATAGAGAAGATGTCTGCGACACTGGCAGGCCAGTACCAGTGTGTGGTGACCGTTGACGGAGTGGGCACCATCGTGTCTAGAGTGGCCACAATATTTTTAGCTGGTAAGCTTTTATGTTTTGTTTATACCTGCATATGTACATTAATATACAACTAAAGAGACAAACACGAAGTCCATCTAATGTTAAGTGCCTATGTAGCTCACGAAGCTAGCAAGACCAGAGGCATCCTTTGTGATGATGAAGATTTCGTGTTACCATTGTAATATTAGTGCCATATCAGCAGCAGTCCACTTAAAACATCACCAAAAGCCTAACTACGGTTGCCAATCCGTCCGCAAAGCGTGGCAACTACTAGTAAAAGGGGAGGACTGAATTGTTAGTAAAATGGACTACCAGTTCTACATACATACATACATACATATCTGTCACGTCTGTTTCCCATTAGGGTAGGCAGAAACAATGGAACGCCAAATGCTTCGATTCAAACAGACCTCTCTCGCTTCTTCCATATTCATCAATCTTGTCACACCAGTCCTATTGCTAGCAATATACCCTGTCAGGTCGATCTCCACGTGGTTCCCCCTGGAAACCATCGTGCTGAATTCCAGGTTTTTTTTTATACAACTTAGAATGGCAAACAAGCTGACGACCCACCTGATGGAAAGGGGTAACTGTCGCCTATAGACATGAGCAGTACCGTGGACGTAACAGAGTATACTGTTTCGCCCATGATACCCCCCCCCCCCCATGCGTTGCCATTCCTGAGGACTCAGGTGTTATTCCTCTGACCTGCCTTTTCATTATATTATAGTGATAAGTAATGCTCCCTTAGTCGACGCTTAAAGATTTCGAATGGCAGACTATTCCATAATCGAATGGATATAATTATGAAGGAATTCCCAAAAGCCTGAGTGGTCTAGTTTTTAGAAGTAATCGTGTCGGTGGACGAAGTGGTTTGTCTTTTAAATATAAGTATTCATATTTACATGAACCGTGTGTGTTCCACTTCAGAGCTGCCAGTCCTGACGCCCGGTCCCCGTTCGGTGCTCGGCGCGCTGGGTGGCACTGCGCTCCTCACGTGTACAATGCGACCAGCGCAGCAGGCACGGGTTGCGTTGCGCGTGCTGCTTCCAGCGACTGCTACACCAGACAGGCGCGTGTATGGTGCTGCACGACTGCATACTGCCCCGCCTACGCTCAAACTTAATGTAAGTATCCTTGGACTGGTATACCCAGTAAATACTGGCCTTGGACGGACGAGGGGTCTCAGAATCTCAGTCTCATTAACATTTTTTCAATGTCAGGGGGCATTGTCAAGATACGGAAGCATCGTACACCCGTCTGTACTAATGGTGTAAAATGCCGGGATAGTAGTGAAGGGTACCTTAGGGGTTTTTAGGAAATGAAAATGCAATGCTTATCTTGCTTCTGTTATTAGTATGGTGAAGTACTAGTGTGGATGAAAGTAGGTAATTTAGCTCATCGAGACGAATTCTTCAGGATTTAAACAGGATAGTTTTTAAAGAGAACTGCGTAGACGTCGGCTCTAACAGGATATCTTGCTATTAATGGGCTTGATCTCATTAAAAATACCTTCTCCCTAAAGTTCAGAGGTTTAGGACAGATTTTTTTAAGTAAGTAGTGGTGTAGGTCCTTGCATAGAATGGGCCACCCCTTCCTTTCCCATGGGTGTCGTAAGAGACAACTAAGGGAGAGCGAGGGATGGGCAGTAGCGTCCCTCATAAAACTTTACCAAAAGTTAAACTGCGGTTGCCAACCCGCTTGCCCAGCGTGGCAACTACTGGTAAAACCTCTCTTATAGGGGAGGATATGTCCAGCAGTGGGCAGTTGACTGCTAATACGACAAGAACTTGAAGTATTGTCCGAGCGAGTTATTCGCTAATCTCCTCAAGTTATAGAGATTATATATGGTCTGAAGGGATGTATTACTTCCAGGTGACATGGCTGAAGAACGGCTCCCCCCTTCGGCTAGAGGAGGGGCGCGTGTCGATCACGGCGAGCGGTGCTCTCGAGGTGGAAACGCTACGGCTCGATGACCAGGCCTCGTACGCCTGCAGGGTGGCGCTGGCACATAGGCTCGACAAATATGTGTAAGTTATTACTTAGTGATAATTCGAGGTTTTATCTCATGAATTAAGTTAAAATGTATTGTAGTTATAAAATTTTACATCTGCCAGGTCATGTTGTCTGTGTTTATTGACATTTACAGTCTGTTACATACACTCGCACGCACGCAGGCTTGACTAGACCCAAGATCTACTGTATACTGACGAAACCCTGCGCGATCTACCAATTGCATATTTCTTGAAATCACAAATGAAACGAAATAGTTCAGTACACAATTATGTAGTATTGTAGTATTTGTTATTTTATTAAGAGGGAAAACATGAAACTGGAACTGCTTCTCAGTAACTACTTATTTATATTAGCGCGAGCATTGCGTCCGAGCATCTTCCGCTAGATTAGCAATATATTATATTGTTTGCCTCGCCACCATCCACTGGACTAATAGTCGCCATCGACTGGTTTTTTTTAATGGGTGATAAAGAAATAGTAACCCCACCCGCGCTATCGGTATACACCGGTGAGGCACCAGTGAAGGACGATAGGTGAGGATGAAGCAGATCAGTTAGCCCGTCTAGACGAATTCAACAAGAATTGTTCACGATGGTTTCTAGGGTGAATCACGTGGAGGTCGATCTGATAGGGCATATTGCTAGCAATGGGGCTGTCAAACTCCATTGCTAACAATCCCTTCCCCCCACCCCTCCGATCGCCTGGTTTTTTTTTTGATGGGCGAAAATGGTATGGTAACCCCACCCGCGCGAAAATGGTATGGTAACCATGATAGTTTCCAGGGGGAACCGCGAGGAGGTTAACCTGTTTGGGTATATTGCTAGCAATGGGATTCTCAGTCTCCATTACTAACAATCCCCCCCCCCCACCGATCGACTGGTTGGTCACCCCTGGTCTATAGATTTACTAGGATCGTTTGCCATGAATAGAATGTAATAGATTCCACGGTATGGTTGCAGCACGGGCCAGCCCACCGAGCTGGTGGTGAGTGCGGAAGCCGGCAGCGCGGAGTCACCGCCGCGGTTCATAGCCACGCCGCAGCCGCTCACCGTCATGGAAGGTTACCAGTGTTGCTTGTACAAATAGGTTTTATATAAAAAAAAAACCGGTCAAGTACGAGTCGGACTCGCCCAACGAGGGTTCCGTACAAAATTATCAAGTTTAATTTTTTTTGTGAAATTACAAAATTACGCTTTTCGGATTTTTCCCTTTACTTGTGCTATATAACATTGTTTCTTGCCTAATTTCATGATTCAAACTCGACGGGAAGTACCCTATAGGTTTTGATTCCCTTTGCAAATGTCAAAATATGCGATATAAATGCTACATAAACGGTCGTATCGTTTGATTGCGTCGATTTAGAAGCTTGATTATTTCACTGCTTTAAGAGATTGCAAACCTAAGTATATGATATTAATTTCAAGTTTCTTAAGAAAAAGGGTCTTGACAGATAGACGGACGGACGAATGGACAACCAAGTGATCCTATAAGGGATCCGTTTTTTCCTATGGTGGTACGGAACCTTGAATTAAATTCAAAATCAATTGAAGTCGGTGTGTTCAACACCGACTTCAATTGTGACAAAACCAGTTATTTTAATTTAAAAACTAAACTACCGAACGGATTTTGATAAAATTTCTATTGGGACCGACCTGTAAGTATATGCTTTCTAATAAAGAAAGAATTTTCCAAATCGGTTCACAACTGACGGAGTTGTGAGGTGACAAACATATAATAAAAATACATTAGAATTGAGAACTTAATTCTTTTTGAAGACTGTTGAAAACCCAAACTATCTGAGGGACTGGTACAAAGGTATATCCTTTCAGATAAAAAAATAATTTTCCATATTTGGTTTATATATGAGGGTTGTTCTGAGGTAACCGTGTGGTCCCGGCATAGAATTGGCCACCTCTTTTCTGGTGGGTGTCGTAAGAGGCGATTAAGGGAACTTAAGGAACCACGTGGAGGTCGACCTAACAGGGCATATGGCTAGCAATGGGGCTCTCAAACTCCATTGCCAACAATCCCTTTCCCCCAACAGGGTATATTACTAGCAATGGGGATATTGGACCTCATTACTAGCAGTCCCTCTCCCCCCTTTTGCCAGTAGTTGTCATGCTTGGCAGGCGGATTGATAATCGCAGTTAGTCTTTGGCGATATTTTAAGAGGAGAAAAGAGCTGCTTTCCACTTTGCCACTTCTCATCTGCCGGGCCGTCAGCTTGTCTCCCAATCTGAGGTATATAAAAACTTCTCTTACACTAGTGCAGCCTTTCCCAAAGTGGGCGATAACGCCCCCTTGTGTCCGCTGCAGGCCTCAAGGGGGGCGGTAAGAAACCAAGAAAAAAATGGGGGCGTTGTGTAAAAGCTTGCGGAGTGATTTGTTGACCTTGAAGTAATAGTGGCAAAAAATTATTTTCAAATTGGACAGTAAACAAAATAAGTTTGGCAACCCCTGCACTAGTGTCTGAGCTAAAAGTTAAATGGTATATAACAGGTGCATCAGCAACGTTCGACTGCGCGGCGGCCGGCAATCCGAAGCCGGAGATCACATGGCTGAACAACGGCATCGCCATAGATCTCAAGTGAGCGACTCATTTACATTGTGTGTATGAATTGGATGAGTGTACGGATGAATTATTCATTTCCCGTCTCAATCTATTGAAATGCTTCTAAGACTGTTTTATTCTTTTTGGTAGGACTGTTTGACCTTTTTCTTTTCGTCTTTTTCTTTTTTTCTTCGTCCTTTCCATCCCTTTCTTCCCATATTCTACCATTTTCCCCCATTTTTTCCCTTTTCCATCTTTCCTCTTTTATTTCCTTTCCCCCCTTTCCTTCCTTTTCCCTCTTTTCTCTCCCTTTTCCTTTCCATCCCTTTCCCCCCTATCCTTCGTTTCCTTTTCACCCCTTTCCTTCTCTTTTCCCCCTTCTATTTCCTGTTTCCCCTTCCCTTCCTTTTATTGTTCTTTTCTTTTTCCCACATGGTACATAATAATAGTAGTGTACTTGGTGTTGGTGCGGCAGCGACCTGGACTCGCGGTTCTACCTGGTGGGGTCGGGCTCGCTGCGCGTGCAGTCTGCGCGGGCGCTGGACGCGGGCGCCTACACGTGCCGCGCGCACTCGCGCCTCGACTCCGCCGACTGCACCACGCAGCTGCACGTGCTGGTCAGATGCACATTCACGTACTTTATTTGCGTTAAACATTCGTGTTTCTACCGTGAAGCAGTTGTGTCTGCATGGCTGTGTTTCGGTTTGAAGGGTGGGATATGGCGTGAATTTACTGGGTACATAGGAATAACACCTGAGTCCTCAGGAATGGCAACGTATGGGGGGTATCATGGGCGAAACAGTATACTCTGTTATGTCCATGGTACTGATCGTGTCTATAGGCGACGGTTACCACTTTCCATCAGGTGGGCCGTCAGCTTGTTTGCCATTCTAAGTTGTATAAAAAAAAAACATGCTTACATTACATGTTCACTTGTGTATACTCAGAGCTACATGTTTCACCAAAATACTGGTATACAAAGATTTATTAAAATTCTATAACCACGGTTGATCATGCATTTTTTTATTATAATGAATATAAATTATAATAAATATAAAAAAAATTATAATAATATAAACAATAATTAAATATTTATATAATAATTATATATATAAATATTAATATAAATAAAAAAGAAAAAAAATGTGCAAGACCGTTTAAAACAATTGTCTATAATGTATCCGCCATCTTGCATCTGCGGCCATTTTAAAATGGTGCCACTTTATCGTTACCCACTCTTTAAACTCTTTCATTTCATATTTATATTAACAAGGTTAACAAAATAAGACACCTTCCGCCATTTTGTCACGTCGGCCATTTTGAAAATATTCCAATATTGAGTATTGAATATTGTGTGCTCATAAAAATATAGGTGTATGCAATTTTTTAGGTTCTAATTCACTTTGAAAGATTTAATATAAGCAAAGTATTATTGTTAGGGACTTGTAATTAAATGTAAATATACATCATTCATTTCATTTCAGCCGATAACTGTCCACTGCTGAACATAAGCCTTCCCCATAAGGGGAGTTTTGCCAGTAGTTGACACGCTTGGCAGACGGGTTGGCATAGGCTTTTAGAGATGTTTTAAGAGGGACACTGCTGCCCATCCTTTTACAATTAAGTTTCTATAGTCGCCACTCAAGACACCCACTGGACAGGAAGAGGTGGCCTATGCCCAGCCGTGGACAATTAACGGCTGATACAATAATAATACAAAAATATCTTAGTATAATTTTTCTGTGACAAAAACTATCACTCAGCGGTCTGACAGTATTACATGATCCTGGCTTTCTTCTAAAAAATAAATAATTGACATGTACAGACGCCACCGCGAGTGCAGCTCCACTCGGGGCCCGTGGTGAAGGCGCACACGCGGGGCGACGTGACGCTGCGGTGCGAGGCGCGCGGCCGACCCCCACCCAGCCTCGCCTGGCTCAAGGACGGCGAGCCGCTCACGCCCAACAACCACGACATAGCTATCGTTGACGGGTAAACACTTTAAAATTTGCAATCGACAAGTTGACGCTACATTTGGTGGAAAGTGGGAAGCGTCGCCTTTGCCCAGGAACTGAAGTATGAGCATGTGATGGTGTTACCATTGAAGATTAGGGTGTTTTTTTTAATGGATGGTAATGGAACGGTAGCCTTGCCTGCGCTAACGGTATATGCTGGCAGGGCACCAGTGAGGGTTGATAGGTTAGGATGTAAAAGCAGGTCAATTAGCCCATCGTACATGATGAATACACCTGGGATTCAACACGATGGTCTCTAATGGGACCACGTGGAGGTCAATTTGACAGAATATATTGCTAGAAATGGCACTGGTAGATCGCGTTACTAACGATGTCCGTCCGGCAGGTCGCTCCGCATCCAGGGCGTGTTGGCGGTGGACGCGGGCATGTTTCAGTGTGCGGCGCGTTCACCCGCCGGCGCCGCCGCCGCAGCCTTGCGGCTGGCCGTACTGCCGCCGCGGGACGGTAAGTCCAGAGCGAGTAATGTTATAGCTATAATCTGTTATAGGATATATTGCATATCCACCTTTTTTTTTTTAATTTTTTAGAAGATATTGAAACCTTTAATTAAATCCAAGATTCTTGTATAGAAGAACATATGCACACTTTACATTTTTTATTTTTTTTTTTTTATCTAATTAGTTTTATTTATAACAATTAATAATGCCATTATATTTTTTATGCGTTGCGTTTGATATTTTATGTTGTTTTCGTTAATTTTGATTTTTATTTCCATTTTTTTTTTGGATTTATTTAAGTTTTTTATTTTCTCCGCGCAGATACCAGACTCTCAAAGTCCACCAAAAAATTAAACACCACTCACATATTAAAAACATTAATCACCGTCGATTTCGACACCACCGATCCTACCCTCGACTCCAACTTCCTCGGGGAGACATCCTCAGCCTACACCCCGGTTCCTGACATGTATTTTGACGAGGATGTATTTCATGCTGCTGAAGACCTGGATTTGGATGCTTTGAGGAGCAACGCGAGCATTGTGTCAGCGCCAAAAAGTCTGAAAGCTGTGCTGGTAAAGCACAGATTTGTGACCCTCAGCTGGGAGGAACCTGAGCATATAGCGGAAGAACTGATGGGGTACGCTGTAATGTACAGGGTGAAAGGGAGCGAAAGGTAAGCCCAAGTTGTATATTTTTATTACGATGAATTCCGATAATTTTTTTAAGGGTTACTTGGTCTGAAGACAGCAAACAAATTCCAAACACAGAGACCAGTACACAGGTATCACATTGATAAAAAAAATAACAACCTCTGGTAGTAATAGTGGTGGTCAGTCTTCGAGTGTTGGCAGTCACACACGTAAGTAATGGTAGCGGAATTAAAGGTCTCTAATCAAATAACCAAAATAAGGTTAATTGGTCCATTGCTGCCTAACATGAATTGTTTGTGGTTTCTAAGGTCGCGTGGAAACGTCCAGATCGGTGACAAACAATCTTTCTTCTGCGTGTACTCTGTTTAGACAACGTATACGGTTGCCGATTTTTGGTTATGCTATGAATGACCACTAACGCGTGCAGTGGACGCGAATCGAATAATGTGCAATTTCACGTAACCGATTTTTCGTCGCCAAGTATCAGGGTTTTGCGACGTTACATATACACTCGACAGTTTAACCTCGGCAAGATAGAAATCGCTAAGAAGTACAACAAATAAAAAATGGTATTTATTTGCGATTGATTGGCGACCGAAGATCGGTTTAATGTGTCGCTAGTATTAGTCGATCGGTGTGTTTGTGTCAGGGAGCGCGTGTGGCGTGGCGGCGCGGCACGGCACGAGACCAACGTGCCCGTGCAGCCCGCCACCACCTACCAGTTTGTGCTGCGCGCGATCACAGCACGGGCGCTCTCTCCACCCTCCCAGGTATACACCAAGCACTTCTGATGAGAACCATCTCGTCTATTACATCATGGGCCTTATAAAATATGCTACGCTTTATATAACATTTCGCAGACGTAGCCACTTGGAGGAATTCGTGAGGCGTGTCTCAAGTCTGCAAAACTACAGTTCGGACTGAATCATGACAACAGAAGCATTCTTATTTTGTTACGCGACAGTCACTAGACTAAATATGAATATAAAATTGTTCTCTCGTCCTTTAATTCTTTATTTTTTATTTCTTATATCTCCAGATGATAGAAGTGACGACTCCCGAAGAGGAATTGACATACGGCCCGCCGACGGGGTTTCGCGTCGAGACGCTGGGACCGCACGCGATACGGGCCATATGGGAGCCGCCTGCACCGCTCGAGCACGTCACCGGGGTCGTCCCCCCGCCGACCAAGTACCAGGTGTACTGCACCGAGGTATCGTACCGAAACTCCGCAGCTACACGCGTAATCGCCACGAGGCCTTCTCGCCGGATATTTTAGTTTTTGTTTCGCCGGCAGGTGGAGACGGGCCGCGAGCAGGTGCAGGTGGTGGAGGCGCTGGCGGCGACGCTGGGCGGGCTGCGCGCGGCGGCCGAGTACAGCGTGCGCGTGGCGGCGGCCGGCGGGGGGCCGGCCGGCCCGCGCCGCGCGCGCACCGCCAGCGACGCGCCCGCCGCGCCGCCCTCCAACGTGTCCGCCGCGCCCGCCGGCGCCGCCGTCAGTACTGCCCCTCCTCATTTTGCTTAACTTCCACGAACTGGATCGCAAATGGCAGACAGTTGTGCAAACAGAATGAATGTGTATAATTTGTGGTACAGTCGATCCTGGTGCGCTGGGAGGCGCCCCCCGTGCGGACGCACCGCGGCCCCCTGACGGGGTACAAGCTGCGCTACCGGCCCGTGGCCCCCGGGGGGGTGGGGGGCACCCGGCGGAAAGCCGATTCGCTGACGACCCCGGCGGACGCGCGCCGCGCTGAGCTGCGGGATCTTGAAACTGGCACTACGTACCAGGTATTTAGATCTACGAGTAACAATAGAGACTTTACGGTTTTACAGGATAGGCAGAAAAAGCGTCTACTTCAATACATTTCAGTTCCAATGTTATAGAAAATATTAATTTTGCACGAACAAATACGTTTTCTACATTCATATTCATTAAAACTAAACCTTATGTGAAGTGATCCTTCGAGCCGGATAATTATAAGGGTTAGCATAAAGTGACTGCTCAACAACGAAAAGTGAATATATTTAAAAATTTTTGCCTCTAGTTTTTTTTTTTTCATGAGCATTAATATATCTCTGCATTCAGAATTAAATTTTCTGGAATTAAATTAAAATTTTAACTTAATTTAATCGTTTAATTACAAATTAAATTAAAAAATTACCATAAATTTTTCAAATAAATAAATAAATACTAAAAACTGCTTACAATTTTGTTTATTTTTTATATGTAGAAAATATTAATGTAATCCGGATAAGAAAAATAATGGTCCTTCGAGTCGGATAATTTCGACCGGATATCTTGTAACATCTCGTAATAATTTCAAATCCAAGCGCCATCAACGCTAACGCCTTAGGACTGTTCAATGCTATAAATTGCTTACATACTCATTCGTGAATGGAGATGTGGGACAGTATGACTATAATAATAACCCTAACAAGAAAAATATTGTTCTTTCGTGTCGGCTAGTTTTATCCCGAAGAAAGGAAAGGAATTAATAATACTGTGGACTATCAGTCCCATTGCTAGCAATATACTCTATCCATCGACCTCCACGTGGTCGTCCCTGGAAACCATCGTGCTAAATTCCAAGTGTATTCATCATGAAAGGCTAAGTGAATCTGCCTATACCCTCTTACCTTCATCGGTGTCCCGCCAGCGTATACAGTTAGCGTAGGCGGGGTTACTATTTCATTATCGTCCATTAAAAAAAGTTTTATTCCGAAGTTATTTTGATGTAACTCTTATTTCAGATCCGTGTATGCGCGATCAACGCGAACGGTTCGGGACCTTTCAGTGAGTGGGTGACTGCCACCACGCTTCAGCAACTCCTCGACGAGACCAGAGTGCCTGGCAAGCCACCACCTCTTACAAGTATTTTTAATATTATATCCCATATAGTTAATTTTTTTTAAATTATTTAAATATGTACCATTAGGTCATATTTATTTTTAGGATATGTACTTAGAATGGCAAACAAGTTGATAGCAGAACCATTTTCAAAGTTCAAATTTTTGACTATTTATTCTCACATTCTTATTCACAATGTAATGATACTATCGGCCCGAGTAAACAATTCTAATGTTTTGGTCCTTCGTGCCAGATAAATGATCCTTTGAGCCGTTGTATATATTAGCTGGTTCAAGCTTTTTTTTTATATTCTATCCTAAACTATATAAGCATAATAGATGGTCTTATTCCTAACCAATCTTTAACAATTTTGTTACTTTTGAAACTAAAGTTTGTAAAGTACAAAGTAGCGTCTTTTCGGCAGCTCCAATATTCACGAGTACGAAGTTACTGACAAAAGCTAGTAACTCCATAAAATTTGCGAAAATTATTGCATTAGACAATTTGGACCTTCATACCGGATAAATGATCCTTTGAACCGGATCAAATTATGTTTTATGACTTTAATAGTCACTATATATTATTGTGACGATTACTAAGTAGTGTATCTCTTCGGCAGCTCGTGCTGGTCGTGACTGGATCTCGGTGTGGTGGTCGGAGGAGGGCGGGGGGGACGGCAGCGGGGGCGTGGTGGTGCGTAGCTACTGGCTGGGCTGGGGGCTGGGTGTACCCGACGAACAGTCGCGGCAGCTCGCCGCGCACCAACACTCTCATGTCATACGGTCACTCGGTATGTCAAAATGCAGCATGAGTGTCCCTGTTCCGTTCATTATGCCATTCAAGTATACTTATGGAAACTTTAGTTTAAAGGGTTGGTTATGATAATGAAATCACTGATTAGGGAGATAAATTAGTCGTCAAAAATGGCAACACGTACACATTTGGACATGATACAGTATTTTTTTTTATGTTTATGATACCATGTTTATCACATATACTGTTTATAATATTTTATCACCGCTACAGTTGCAGTGTCCCGCCTTTCCATTTTCTCCATAAATGCCTTTTCATCAATGTCCTTTACTCGCTCCTCTAATTCTTTTCTCCATACCATAGGTGGCGGATACCATCAATAAATACATTCTCACAAGCATACCAACCTCAAATAATTGGGATAAAAGCAAGAAAATGACAATGGTGATGATAATTATTTATTATGTTTATATCTTGATGATCAGAACTACTCTTCATCGGTTTATTATCATCGTCATTCAAGCCATTATCCGTCCACAGCTGGATATAGACCTTCCCCATAGACTGCCAAAAGGAACTATCCTAAGTTACCTGCATCCGTTGACACAATGCAAAAAAAAAAATGTAAAAAATAAGGCGGGGGAGATGGTAGCGAATATTACGACTGGGCCTCTAGACAAGTGTCAAGCGAATTCGTCGATGGAAACGACATCGCTAGCGAGTCCGTAAGTTGGAATTAGTCATCCGGCGTTGCTATCTCATTCTATCTCACGGACTAGCTAGTGATGTCGATCCCATCGACGAATTCGTTTGCCATTTGTCTAGAAGCCTTAATCTGTAGGACCTTAGCTATTTGTAGTGGGGTCGAGGGTGGGGGAAAATTGTAAGTAATGGATTTTAACGCTTGTACCATTATCACTTGATTCATGCATTCATAGCTACATATAAAGAGGAAAGATTGGATTTAGTATCAGATGATTTCAATCGATTTTAAAAATTCTCTCATCAATGGAAAGCTACTTTACCATCATGTAATAAAGATGTAATAAATACTGCGGGGTTACTATTCCATTATCATACATAAAACGCAGACGACGTCACGAGTAAAAATTAGTGACGTACGTTATTGTTCCTCAGAACCAAACTCCGAATATGTGATATCGCTTCGCGCGGGCAACTCTCTGGGATTAGGACCTCCGGTGTACGCCACAGTGCGGACCCGGCCTGCCGCCGCCGAGGGAGACGAGCCCGACTTAGGGGATGGGGACGGGGACGACCCCGATGGGGACGACGAAGATGAGGAGGACGAGCCGCCCCCGTTGATACCCCCTGTTGGTCTTAAGGTATCAACTATTATTCCATCACACAAATTATTGCATTAGGCATTTTGGTCCTACATGCCGGATAAATAATCCTTCGAACCGGATCAACTTAAAGCTGGTCTATGGCCTACTGTTATTAAACTTAAGTTGTGTTATTATAGAGTAATTTAATATAACAATTTACGTATTTAACAAAAATCTATCCTTTACAGCTCAAACATTGTCTAACTTTTTAAATTTAAACGTTTAAATTTTGTTTCCAGTTATGAAAATACCACTGGTTTTTACCGTTATTTAATTAAGTTGTGTTCTAAAAAAAAAAACTTTAATTGTAGCAACTAAACTACTGAACTGTTTTATAAAATTTCCATGAGACCTATTTGTCAGCATATTCTTTTACATAAAAAATAATTTTGAACATAGGTTTACCAATTGACGGAGTTATCGCGGTAATAATAAAAAAAAAATACAACCGAATTGACAAACTCCTGAATAAAAATTCATTTATTCATTCAAAAATTTTGAACCGCAAATGTTATTTATATAGGCATGGATAATATGAATACCAATCGGATATCTATGTATTGGGTTTCTCCGGACATTAATTGGGGAAAAATCATCCATTTCGATATCGGTCTGATATATACTCGTATTTTCGAATATGTTATCCAATATTTTTTGGATTAAAGTTATGTATCACGTTGCAGGCCATAATGTTGAGCGGTACCACTGCTGTTCTGTATTGGACGGACCCCACGCTCGCTAAGGGACAGGTCTGTATATATATAATATGAATTTGTTTATATTTTCATTCCCAAGCCTTCTTTTTACTAATTATATTTGCATAAGAAGAAAGGAGGCAACCATATGATTTACAGTTTTTATTTTATCATTCCTTCTATGTAATTCCTTGTTCTTAGTCTCTTTATCTATTAATTCATACGTCACGCCTTAGTCATTGGCTCCTAACCTATTCTCCGGGGGGAAAGGGATTGTTAGCAATGGAGTTTGATAGCCCCATTGCTAGCAATATGCCTTATCAGGTCGACCTCCACGTGGTTCCGCCTGAAAACCATCGTGAACAATTGTTGTTGAATTCGTCACGATGGGCTAACTGACCTGCTTCATCCTCACCTATCATCCTTCCCTGGTGCCCCGCCGGTGTATACCGATAGCGCGGGCGGGGCTACCATTTCATTATCATCCATTAAAACCCATTCTCCATCCCTATTATTTTGTGTTCTCCCGTTCATTCGCTCACTCGCTGCCCCGTGGGCTGCGTGTGCGCAGACGGCGACGGACGGGCGGCGGTACGTGGTACGGTGGGCAGCGGCGGGCGGCCGGCCGCGCTACTTCAACGCCTCCGATCTCAACTGCATGCTGGACGACCTGCGGCCCTACACCACCTACGAGTTCGCCGTCAAACTCATCAAAGGTCAGTTGCCACACGCGTCTATACAAATATGTCATTGCGCCTGATGAAAATTATTTTTCTTTATACAAGAAAAGAGTATATTCCTTTTTAAAAGACCGGCAGCACACCTGCAATGCCGTTGGTGTTGTGGGTGATCATGGGCGGCGGTAGTCACTTACCATCAGGTGAGACACATGCACGTCTACTCTCTGTGTTATAAAAATAACCACTGACGTGGCAAACTAGCGTACGACCCACCTGATGGTAAGCGGTTACCGTAGCCTATGAACGTCTGTAAGACCAAGGACATTACGCGCGCGTTGCCGACCCTGAAGAAACCTCTTTACCCCTCTTTTGAAGAACCCCATGCTGTAGTCTCTTGGAAAAACCTCAACAGGTAGCTCATTCCATAGTCTGAGCATTTGTGGAAGAAACATCTCTGAAATTGCACTGTACGTGACCATCTAGGCTCTAGGGTATGGGGGTGAACTCCATGTCAATGGCGAGCTGTACGTTGGTTTATGTTTACTCTACTTAAATGGCAAACAAGCTAATAGTCTACCTGATGGGTAGTGGTAACCATCACTTGCCATATGCCATCCTTTAGAACGAAGCAAAGCCTTGCAAAGTATACACTTAATGGCGAAAAACAAGAGCATTATGAAGGTACAAATGTTTTTTATGCATAACCTGTCTCTGCTATCAACATCTCTTCTGTCTAATTTTGTCTATTATTATTCTGTGTTAGGTGGTCGCGAGTCTCCGTGGTCGATGCTGGCCAGCAACACGTCGCTAGAGGCGACCCCTGGCGGCCCGCCGCGTGAACTACGCATCATTCCCGCGGCGCCGGCTGCGCGGGCCGTCGACCTTGCCTGGCAGCCGCCTGCTAAGCCCAACGGCCGGATTACTGGTGAGTTTAGTGGTTATGGAAAACTAGCGATGTAGTAAGGGAGGACTTAAGGATTTGGTCCTTCGAGCCGGATAAACCATAACTTGAACCGGATGTAAGTAACGCTTAAATAGTAGATACTATATTGTGCGATGATCGCAGGGTACGTGGTGATGTACGCAATACAGCGCAGCGGCGCCGCAGCTGGTGGCGAGGAGTGGACGCCGGTGGCGGTGGGCGGCGATCGTGTACGGGCACGCGTAGATCGTCTGCGACCGCGCACCACCTACGCCTTCAAAGTGCAGGCCAGGAATGCGCGCGGACTCGGGCCTTTCTCTCAATCTGTCGCGTATACTACGCCTTTGGGTGAGTGGATTTATTAATAATGTTATCGATTTTCTTATTGATATGATGTAATGGGTCGTTTTTTTAATGGATGATAATGGAATGGTAATCCTGTCTGTGTTACGATATACGTAGGCGGAGTACCAGTGAGGATGAAACGGTACGTCAGGTAGCTCATCGTGATGAATATACTTGGAATTGATCAGGATGATTCATAGCAATGCGACTAGTACTGTGTACTTTTTTTTTAATGGGTGTTTTTTTTTATACCACTGAGGTGGCAAACAAGCATACGGCCCACCTGATGGTAAGCGGTTACCGTAGCCTATGAACGCCTGCAATACCAGAGGTATTACGCGCGCGTTGCCGACCCTGAAGAAACCTTTACCCTCCTTTTGAAGAACCCCATGCTGTAGTCTCTTGGGAAAACCTCGGCAGGGAGCTCATTCCATAACCTGAGTGTTCGTGGGAGAAAGCATCTTTGAAACCGCGTTGTACGCGACCATTTAGGCTGTAAGGTATGAGGGTGAACTCCCTGTCGATGGCGAGCCGTACGATGATAGAAAGTGGCCGTAGGCATCATATTGAATAATTCCTCTGAGCACAATCCGTTGTATAAGCTGTAGAACACGCAGAGTGAGGCAAAATCTCTCCTAAGACTTAAGGGTTCGATACCGCTTGCAAGCCTGGAATCATCGACAATTCTCATAGCTCGACACTGCACTGAGTCGAAGGGTTCAAGCTGGTATCTAGGTGCTCCCGCCCATAAGTGACAGCAATAGTCCATATGGGGCCGGATTTGCGATTTGTAAAGCATTAATCGCTGATCCGGCGTGAAGTAATGCTTCGCTCTATTGAGCACACCGAGTTTTTTGGATGCCAGCTTCACCTTATGTTCGAGGTGGCCACGGAACTGTACGTCACTAGAGATGTCGACACCAAGGATCCCAATGCTTTTAGAGATGTTAAGAGACATGCCTTGGAACTGTGGGGCCACAGGAAATGGGGTTTTCTTAGCGGTGAACGCGCAAGCTTGTGTCTTAGAGGGGTTAAATTGGACCAAGTTTTGTCGTCCCCAATCAGAGACTCCAGTTAGTGTTCTCTCGATTTCAGACACAAGCTGTTCACGATTGTTCTCCACGATGGAACGGGAGACATTGTTACGACCCGTATAAAGGACATCCCCGGTGCTGTCATCCGCATAACAATGAATGTTACCGAAGGTTAACATTAATATGCAGTAGAAACAGCGTTGGGGACAGCACAGAGCCCTGCGGGACGCTAGCGTTAATATCCATGCTATCGGAGCAGCAACCATCTACAACGGTTTTTATACGTCTGCCGGATAAAAATCTGGCGACCCATTTACAGAGGCTGTCGGGAAGTCCATAGTAGGGCAATTTCGATAGAAGACCCCGATGCCAGACCCGGTCAAATGCCTTTGCAATATCAAGACCGACAGCGAGCGCCTCACCTTGACTCTCAATGGCTGATGCCCATCGGTGCGTAAGATATACCAAGAGGTCACCAATTGAGCGACTATGACGAAAGCCATATTGCCGGTCACTCAATAAATCGTGATCCTCTAGGTATTTTAACAGATGTGCGTTAACTATACGCTCCATCACCTTAGAGAGAAGGGAAGCGATCGCAATCGGTCTGTAATTTGAAGGGTCCGACTTATCGCCCTTTTTAGGTACAGGATGTACAAGGGTGGTCTTCCATGTTGAAGGAAATTGCCCTGTGGAGTACGAGATCGTAAAGAGATGCGTTAATACAGGACACAATTCCGGAGCACACTGCTTTAGGACCACTGCCGGTATACCGTCTGGCCCACTCGACTTATGAACATCTAAGGATAGTAACTCCCGCCGGACTTTACATTGTGTTATAGTAATTTCCGGCATGGAGCTTCCGCAACACAAGATGGTAGGTGGTACAGTATAGGTCCATAGTCGAGTTAGAGGCAAAGAGAATGCCAAATAAGTCGGCTTTCTCTTTAGCACTGTAGGCCAAGTTACCATTCGGTTTCCGAAGTGGTGGAAAAGACGACTGACAAAAGTTTCCTTGGGCAGCTTTAGCAAGCGACCAGAAAGCACGGTTACCAGAAGGAAGGCTTGATAGTCGCCTACCAATTCTGCCCACAAATTCAAATTTGGCTCTGGTAATTACTCTCTTACTGTACCTCGAAGCAGCATTTAATTTCCGCTTTGCATTAGTGATTCCAGGATCAGAGTTAGTGCGAGCCGTAGTCCAAGCCCTGTATGTAGCTTGCTGAGCAAATCTGGCTTTCTTACAAGACCGGTTAAACCTCGGATGCTTCTTCGATCCCATTGCCACTAGTGGGTTGGGGATAAATAGCTTCATACCTTCAATGATAGCCTCGCTAACGGCAATTGCGCAGTCGTTAGGATCATGTGATGCAAACAGAGCTGCTTCCAAGGGTACGATGCATAAAATTCTCGCAATCCATCCCAGTCGAGTGTTGGGGACATCAGCCCGGATAAGACAATGGTCGGATGAGCCAATTGGCGCATCCACTCTGACGGTGCATCCATCCGGGTGTGTTGTCAGCAGAAGATCCAGCAAGGAGCTTGTATGGTTCTCTATATCTGGTATTCTCGTTGGAGAATGGACCAGCTGAGAGAATCCATAGGTCAGAGCAAACTCATGAGCAGCTTTTCCCGCGCAATCAGTGGACCGAGAACGAAGCCACTCGGAGTGGTGAGCATTAAAGTCTCCAAGTATCACTAACTCCGCAGAAGGGTACTGCTCGAGAACTCTATCAATCGTTGTTTGCAGGTGCTCAAAAAGACGGAAAGTGTCCAGATCATCGCTGTGAGACCTGTAAAGCCACGCGTAAATACGAGTGAAAGTGAATGGGTGTTAATCGAATGGTAACCTCACCTGCGCTCTCGGTATACACCGGTGGGGAACCAATGAAGAATTATAGGTGAGAGTGATAGCTCATCGTGATGAATTCAATAAGAATCCTTCACAATGGTTTCCAGGGGGAACCATGTGAAGATCGATCTAATATTGCTAGCAATGGGGCTGTCAGACTCCATTGCTAACGATCCCTTTCCCCCCTGTGTGGTGTGTGCTGCGTGGTACTAACGAGCTGCGGTTTGGTTGGCGGCGGCAGAGGCGGGCGAGGGTGGCGGGCTGGCGAGCGCGACGTCGGCGTGGCTGTGGGCGAGCGCGGGCGGCGCGTGCGCCGGCGCGTGGCCGCGCGCTCGCGCTGTCGCTGCTGCTCTCGCCCGACACCAGGTGCGTGCGCTACGCTGTCGCGACAGCGACAGCGCGAGCGCCGTGCTGCTGCTGGCCGCCGCGCTCGCGCTGTCGCTGTGCTGCCGCCGCGCGCCCGCGCCGCTCTCGCCCGACACCAGGTGCGTGCGCGCGTGCTGCTGCTGGCCGCCGCGCTCGCGCTGTCGCTGTGCTGCCGCCGCGCGCCCGCGCCGCTCTCGCCCGACACCAGGTGCGTGCGCTACACTCACACTCACTGTCCACAGCGACAGCGACAGCGCGAGCGCCGTGCTGCTGCTGGCCGCCGCGCTCGCGCTGTCGCTGTGCTGCCGCCGCGCGCCCGCGCCGCTCTCGCCCGACACCAGGTGCGTGCGCTACACTCACACTCACTGTCCACAGCGACAGCGACAGCGCGAGCGCCGTGCTGCTGCTGGCCGCCGCGCTCGCGCTGTTGCTGTGCTGCCGCCGCGCGCCCGCGCCGCTCTCGCCCGACACCAGGTGCGTGCGCTACACTCACACTCACTGTCCACAGCGACAGCGACAGCGACAGCGCGAGCATGCCTGCCTGCGCGCATTACATACATTTCTCCTAGACTATAGAGAGATATATGTAAAGTCCACTCCAATCCTAGTAAACTACTCCAATTAGTGTCAAAATATTTCAGTTGCGAAGTGGTAGTATCCACTTCGTAAGCCTCTCAGGTCGCTGTATCATAAATTACAGCGACTTGATAGACTGAAATCGCATACCCGAATACCCTTACTCTAGAATTGGACATATTTCCAGCACGTACCAAAAGTCGTCCGCGTCGGCAGCCATCAAGCCTCCGGACCTGTGGATCCACCACGATCAAATGGAGCTCAAGCACATGGACAAGAGTCTGCACAGCTCCGCCAGTAAGAGTACGGCGTACACGCTTTTTTTTATACAACTAAGAATGGCAAACATGCTGACGGCCCACCTGATGGAAAGTGGTAACCGTCGCCTATAGATATGAGCAGTTTCGCCCATGATACCCTCCATGCATTGCCATCCCTGAGGACTCAGGTGTTATATTCTTAACTTTTCCTCTTCTGTGGGTATTATAAAAGGTGATTAAGAGAATTTAAAGGTCGAGGGATTGGGAGCAGTGTTCCTCTCAAAATATCACCAAATGCTAACTGCTGTTGTCAACCCGCCTGCCAAGTTTGGCAGCTATTAGCTAAACCTCTCAACCTAAAAAAGAGGCCGTGTTTAATGAATAAATGATAACTTTTTTTTTATACAACTTAGAATGGCAAACAAGCTGACGGCTCACCTGATGGAAAGTAGTAACCGTCGCCTATAGACATGAGCAATGCCATGGACATAACAGAGTATATTGTTTTGTGGTAACGCTCTGATGGCATGGTCTGGTGATCAGTGTCAGCGGGCAGCACGGAAGGCAGCGCTCTAGCGGCGTCCACGCTGACGCTGGGCCGGGCCGGGGGCGGCGGCGGAGGCGGCGGGGGAGGGGCCGGCGGCGAGTACGAGCCGGCGCGCCACCCGCCGCCGGCGTCGCTGGCGTCGCTGGCCTCGCTCGACAGGCGGCACTACGTGCCCACATACGTCGGTCAGTGGCCTGCCGCTTGTACTCAAACCTTACGTTATATACGTACAGTGTCTCCATACAAGTGCTTCGAGAAAAACTGCTCAACTTTTTCATACAATTTTGCGTGATAAACAGTTATGTGTGATTCCTTTATAACTTCTATATTTATTTTGTGTTATAATTTCTGCATATTTTTTAATACGTAAACACTCATTTTATTTATTAAATAATTAAATATATATACGTCAAGATACATAGTGTGCGTTACTTACGCACATATATATATATAGAACATTGATAAAAAAACGAGTCAGCTAATTTGACAATTGGCTGACAAAAAGTTGACTCGTTTTGGAGACTCGATGCTCTATCTATATAAATATGTATAATGGAAAGTATGAGACGAAATGCTGTATTGTAAAACGCTGAAAAAAACTTCAGAATGAAGTCGAAACTGTTGTCAAAAATGACAAACAACGTGGTAAGTTTGTAAATTTAAAATTTTATATTTATCTCAGTGACAGAGACAGGTGTGATGGATATGTATGTATGTATTTACATATATGTATATGTATGTTTTTTTTAATTGCAGTTATTTTTTGTTTAATAAAAATAAAAAAATATATTTCCCCTACTTGTCCCACATTTTTGATTACTTTCTTATTATATTTTTTTATTTTCTCGCTTTGTTTAGTTTTCTTTCCCGTTTGTGTTGCCTATTTTAATTTGTGTTTGTGTTACGTTGTTTATATTTTGTTGTGGGCGGGGCGCGTAGACTCGCGGCGGTCGCCATCTTGCGGCGGCAGCGACGAGAGCGCGGTGCGGTCGTCGCCGTCCGCGCCGCGCTGCGAGCGCTGCGACCGCTACGAATACAGACGTGAGCGCGCGCTTTTTTTTTTTTTTTTTTTTTTTTTTTTTTTTATTTATATTTAATTTTAGAAAGGCCAAATTAAAAGTTCTCGTAACCGGCGAGCGTGTATAAATAGATTGATGCTTATAGAGGAAGCGAGAGAGGTCTGTTTGAATCGAAGCATTTGGTGTTCCATTGTTTCTGCCTACCCTAATGGGAGGCAGGCGTGACAGATATGTATAGATAGATACACAGATACTCTTTATTGTTTCCTCCAAAAGATATTTCTATATAATTACTCCTCTCCATCCAAAGTTTGGCTGGAAGAGATCGCTCTTAGCGATAAGGTCGCCCATTATTTTCTCATTGTGATTATTTCTTGTAATTGTTTATATTTATAATAAGTTTACTATTGTAATCTTTTGGAGGAAACAATAAAAAGTATCTATCTATCTACTTAAATGAGAATTTTTACGTGTGGCAGCTATGACGGGCGTGGGTGTGGGCGTGGGCGTGGGCGTGGGTGGTGCGGGCTGTGCCGCCACGTGTGACCGCCGTCCGCACGCGAGGCATGCGCTCGTTGACCAGGTGCGTACTTACCATATTTTATCTTACTCGCATCTGTTCAAATATTAACATACTCTGTTATGTCCATGGTATTGCTTATGTCTATAGGCGACGGTTACCATTTTCCATCAGGTGGGTCGTCAGCTTGTTTGCCATTCTAAGTTGTATAAAAAAAAATGCTCCTTTCCACTTTGCGTGTTGCTGGAAGAGAACTCTCTCAGAGTTAAGCTCGCCTTTGTACATTTGATTAGCTCTGTCATATTCTTATAACTGGTGTGTATAATAAAGAATTAAATAAACAACATAACCTTCAAGAAAAGAGCATATTCCTTTTTAAAAGGCCGGCAGCACACCTGCAATGCCTCTGGTGTTGTGGGTGACCATGGGCGGCGGTAGTCACTTGCCATCAGGTGAGCAGCATGCTCGTTTGCCCCCTGTGTTGTAAATAAGAGTATTTTCGTAATACAAAAGATGGCGATAGCAGTAATAATTCGTATCATTATCATATCATCCCTCTAACTATCCACTGCTGAACTTAAGTTTCCCTTTTAAGGGATTTTGCCAGTAGTTGCCCCGCTTGGCAGGCGGATTGGCAACGGCAGTTAGGCTTTAGAAATGTTTTAGGAGGGATGCTGTTGCCCATCCCTCGTCCTTCCTTAGTCGCCTAGGAGCAAGGAGTGGCTTTTTCTATGCCGTGACTACACGACCAGATACCATTGATGCGTATACCGTGTCGTATTTTTTTATACCACTGAGGTGGCAAACAATTATACGGCCCACCTGATGGTAAGTGGTTACCATTACCTATGAACACCTGCAATTTGTATATGTGACGTAATGTTATGGTGTGTGTATAGAGCACACCGCTGCTGGCGGGCGTGGCGCCGCTGGGGTCGCCGCAGTCGTCGCTGCATCCTCAGCACCCGCTGCACCAACACTCGCAGCACCCACACCAGCATCCGCAGCATCCACCGCCTGCTCCATGTGAGTCTGTCTATAGAATTTGACCGACACATTCATCCTAATTAATATTATTTAACACACACACACACACATACGTTATTATACGTGGTTTCTTTCATACATGCACTTATATTATTTGCACACACCCACTCTAACTTGCCTACCTCGCTTTGGAATTATAATTATCGTTTATGTAAATAAAATCCGTTATTGGCTGTATTCCTAAGAGACTCAGCATGTAAGTTGTGTTTATAAAAGCTGTAGATTTTTTAATAAAATAAATAAATAATAAAATACTATTCGTGACTTAATTAGCTATAAAACTCCCTTGTATTCCTATTTTAAGTATTCCACTGATATTTTAGTAGAAATATATTGTAGAAGTTGTATAATTGTCGTACCAAAAGTTATTAGTAGTTTGGTAATAAGTTTTGTGTCCTGGTCACGGCACCAAATTGTTACGTACTTCATACTTACACATTTTGTTTGCTCATATTACTAAATGTTGACGTCGTGTAGGCGGGTCCGGCACGTGTCCGCTGGGGGCGGCGTGCTCGGCGCCTACACCGCCCACGGGTGGGCCCGGCGGCGCGGGCGGCGACATCTACGCGTGCGCTGCCCGCGAGCGCGGACACTACGTCGCGTACGAGCCGCTCGGACACTACACGCAGTGAGTACCTACGACTACTCGTGTCGTAAATATATGCCCCATGTCGATTAATTTGTGTAATTTCTTGCAATGCAGTCTTTCATCTCGTAAGGATTTCTGTAAACTTTACAGTCGCGACTCGCTGAGCAGCGAGGCGCGCGGGCGGCGGCGGCGGCGGCGGCGGCGGCGGGGGCTCGCTGCAGCGCGGGCGCGGCGCGTGCTCGGCCATGCACAGCTTCGCGCTGCAGGACGCCGCCTCCGACCACTCCACGCCCTCGCACTCGCGCGGTACGTACTCTACGCGGCACACCACACTCTGCACTCTGCACTACACACAGAGCGGGTGCGGCGCGTGCTCGGCCATGCACAGCTTCGCGCTGCAGGACGCCGCCTCCGACCACTCTACGCCCTCGTACTCGCGCGGTACGTACTCCACGCGGCACATCACACTCTGCATTCTGCACTCCGTACACCACACTCTGCATTCTGCACTCTACACTCCGTACACCACACTCTGCATTCTGCATTCTACACTCCGCACACCACACTCTGCATTCTGCACTCCGTACACCACACTCTGCATTCTGCATTCTACACTCCGCACACAACACTCTGCATTCTGCACTCTACACTCCGCACACAACACTCTGCATTCTGCACTCTACATTCCGTACACCACACTGCATTCTGCACTCTGTACTCCGTACACCACACTCTGCATTCTGCACTCTACACTCTGCACAGTACATTCTGCATTCTGCACTCTACACTCCGCACACAACACTCTGCATTCTGCACTCTACACTCCGCACACAACACTCTACATTCTGCACTCTACATTCCGTACACCACACTGCATTCTGCACTCTGTACTCCGTACACCACACTCTGCATTCTGCACTCTACACTCCGCACAGTACACTCTGCATTCTGCACTCTACACTTTGCACACAACACTCTGCATTTTGCACTCTACACTCCGCACACAACACTCTACATTCTGCACTCTACATTCCGTACACCACACTGCATTCTGCACTCTACACTCCGCACAGTACACTCTGCATTCTGCACTCTACACTCTGCACACAACACTCTGCATTCTGCACAAAAACTACAAAACAATATTATTGTATCACTTTACAGAGTTTACTCAGCCTGTTATTTCTATTACTACGTGTATATTTTATGTGTATGCCTATTCTGAATAACCAGATTTCACTTCTAAACTGTAATTTATAGATGCATTTAAATAGAAGTAATTAAAAAATGTCATGTATCGCCAGCAGGAAGCGTGCGAGAGACATCGCCATATAAAAAGAGTGCAAGCTCGTCTCCCGGACACATACCTAACAGACTGCAGCTCGGTAAGTATTACATTCGTGTTGTTTTATCATATTTTACTGAACTAGATGTTATTTTGCGGAAGTCTTTACTTCAGTCTTACGATTAGGCTTGATCCATTGAAACTGCATAAAGATGTCGAATTTATTATAGGGAGTGCTCTGAGAAATTGTTCGGATTGATACCTACTGTTGATTTTCACCACCGTACAACCCGCCACAAACTAAAGTTTCATCCCAACCATCTGGACGAGTGGCGGTTCTCCACCGTGCGTTTTTCAAGGCACTTTCTCCCACGCACAACCACTCTTTGGAATGAACTTCCAGCAGCAGTATTTCCGAATCGATACGACAACATAACCTTCAAGAAAAGAGCATATTCCTTTTTAAAAGGCCAGCAGCACACCTGCAATGCCGTTGGTGTTGCGGGTGATCATGGGCGGCGGTAGTCACTTACCATCAGGTGAGCCGCATGCTCGTCTGCCCCCTGTGTTATAAAAAGGTTCTTATCACTGGTTATTTGGTTTGAATTATTTTGTTTAATTTTGCTACCATTAGTATGTGTGCAACTGCCAACATTTTCGCCGTCTAATCTCCGGACACAATCAACACTCGGCTCTGAGTAGTAATCTATTAATTTGCCTGAAGATGCCTCGAGATTTAGAGGGGAAACACATGCGGTTGCCAGTTCGAGGCCTATAGTTAAAATAACAATTGTCTATTTTAATATTATAATGAAGAAAAATATGATTTTTTGTATGTTTGTGTGTGATGGTGTAATGGAGAAACTCAGAAATTACCAACTGATTTTAAAAAAATTCGAAAAATAATTTGAACATTAATTGGCTGTCTTATATTTGTGTAGGCAATGCAGATGAGGCAATGGTGACTTGTAACACAGATATTTTCAAAACCTACCACAGGCACCAGTCTCTCGAAAAACCGATCTAACATATTTAATTGTACCTCAAGCTATTATTTTTTACTACCTTTTTTGAAGAGAAAAACAAACCATTCATTCGTCATTTATTCCATTCACTTTAGGTGGCGGCGTCCCCCACTGCGCCGAGGAATTAGAGCCACTAACTCCATCCCGCTCCACCGAGCGGCTGCACCGCGAGATGCAGAACCTTGAGGGCCTGATGAAGGATCTGTCCGCCATCACACAGCAGCAGTTCCACTGCTAGTGTCTCCTGTCTCCTCGCCAGCCGTGTGTGACCGAGGTAACGCAGCCGGAACGGTGGTTAACCGTACCCGTCTACCAAAGTATGCAATCTGACTACCCAGTAACGCAGGCGGACTGTTGGACAACACAGGGCCAACTGGTAACGCAAACGGAACGTCGGGTGACACAGACGGACCGTCTAGTGACGCAAGCGGACCATTTGGTAACGCAGGCGGAATGTCGGGTGAGGCAACAGGATCAGTGGTTACCCATGTCCGACTATCAATGTTGTATGTGTGATTGCGTGTCAGAATGCACAGTGAACTATGCCGGGTACAGCCAGGCGAGCGAGCTCGACTTCTTACGAAGCCAATCCGATGCGAGTTACTCGTGCGAGTACTGTACTAGCGCGTACCACTCGGACATGTCGTGTAGCGGCGCTAGCACCACCGAACTAAGGCCAAACATGTCTGAACATGTCAGTGAGCATGATAAGTGCAATTGTGCCGATATACTTAGAGTATGAAATGTAAGGACAATTTATGCAATGTGATCGATTCTGAGGCGTTATTTTTCTAAACTTTTCTCTTAATCTAATATTTTAATTTCATAATTGATTCCTATGAAATCGAAGACGGCTTAATCCAAGTCTGTCAAACGTTCAGGAAACTACAAAAAATTTATATTTTGCCAACGATATTCTATATTTTAAACTAGATTAAAGAAAATTTGAATATTAGTAATAAATTAATTTTAATTAAGAGAAATATTTGAATACAGTGTGTAAATGAAATCGATTTTATATAACGTTTAGTTGCCTTTGATTTTATAGGCTTTAATTGCGCAAAATTATGTTTTTTAGAACGCCATAGAGTAAAATTATAATATTGACCTAAAATTAGAAAATTGGCTCATGTAAGTTACTCTTGAAATAAATACCAATAGATCGATATTGAAATTGAGACGTTTCACACTCTTGAATTGCAACACTAGCGACATAATAGTCCCATACTGTTCTGATAGATGCATATTGGTGCAACTTGCCAATGCAAACTGTTGTAAACCGATCCCAATTATAAGCTAATTCCTAACTGTTGCTTCATGCGTGTAAAATTGTTGTTGGCAATAGATTGGATTGATAATAATATTAGATTGAAGAGTAGAACCCGCAAAATCATCATGTCAGCCTTTAACTGTCCACTGCTGAACATAAGCCTCCCCCTTGGGGGGGTTTTACCGGTAGTTGTCACGCTTAGGCGGATTGGCTGGCCAATTTAGCTTTGGAGATGTTATAAGTGGGACGCTGATGCCCATCCCTCGCCGTCCCTTAGTCCCGTAGTAGTCGTCTCTTACGACCACGGGAAAGGAAGGGGTGGCTTGTTCTATGCCGGGACCACACGGGAATTTTCTAATACAATTAAGTAAAAATTATTATAAATATAATTTATGATGGCTCATAAAACAGTAATTTCACAAAATTATCAAATAAAAATATTAGGTGAAGACATATGTAGGTGGCGCCTCAGAATCGGCCTTCATTAGTGATCGTATGTAAATGATTTATTGATAATATGACAACACGATAATGATTGAGAAATGACTTTAAAATTCGTCATTACGTGACACAAGTCTCGCCTTAAGACATTATTTTTTTTTTCTTCTAAAACTTGGTAGTTTTAGTAGTTTTTCAGTATTCACAAGTTATGGACCGGAAAATATTTAATCGTGATTTTTTTTAATTATTTTGGTTTATAATTTAAATTTTTTAATAGAAAATTATTTATCACGAAATATCGAACGTTTTTCGGTATCTGTGATCGCATAAAGACTATTTAGAACGTGGTAAATAATGTTTTCCGAAAGTTACTAATTCTAAGTGGCACGTGTGACAGAGAAGCGATGATCTTATATGGTGAACGTGATCAAGCTTCTGAAATGCATGCCAATCCAAATTTCCATATATGTATTATTTTAATGTAATAACTACTAGTTTAATTTACGTGTATTATCAACTTCAAAAAAGGAGGTTTTCAATTCGGTTGTAATTTTTTTAAGTTTGTTAACTCAGTCAGTTGTAAACTGATTTGGAAAAAGCTTTATTTGAAAAGATATATTTTCAAGTTGATTCTAATAAAATTTTATAAAAGTCGTTTTAGTTTTTAAAATAAAATAACTAGTTTTACCATAATTGAAGTTATTTTTTTTTTATGTATTAAAATCTATTATAGTCGAGAAAGTTCGACAAGTTTCAAGTCTATGTGGGCCCCTCAATCATGAGCGGCTGTGACGCGAGCGTGTCTCAAATACACGTAAGTTAAACCGGTCGTTATAACATTAAAACATAATATGTTCTTTCGAAACTTCTAACAATAAAATATTGGTAAACATGTAGTCGAACATGCAATATTTTTGAACACATGTTTCCACATGTATTTTACAAACGTTTCCACTCAATAACTCTTGACGTTTTTCATAAACAATTTTCAATATTGATTACAATCGGATATTGATTATTATATAATTAAAATTGTATATCACAAAAAAAAACATCAATTTTGACAAAACCAGTTATTACTACTATAATGAACAGATATTTATAAAATTTCTACGGTATCAATTTTTAAGTACATCCTTTCAGGTAAAAAATGAATTTTCCAAATCAAATTACAACTAACGAAGTTATGAGGTGAAAAACATAAAAAAACAAATACAAACAAATTGAGAGCCTCCTTCTTTTTGAAGTCGGTTGAGAAGTGCGTTTAAAGAAAAAATAATAATATTGCAGTCAGATTGTATGTATCATTGTATGAAAATTTCGACTTTGATGACAAAAAAAAATTAGTAGTTTCAAATGCAAAGTTTACCCGCTTTTTTATACCACAAAGTTGGAAAAAAGGATACCTATTTAATATTGAATTGAAGCTATTAATGGTAAAACAGATTTTAGAAGTTTTGATGGCAAATTTAAAATTTTTCAAATACATTATTTTTTGCCGCCAAAATTCGAAATTATGAAGCAGTGGTAAAATATATAAATGTAACGTTCTAGAATTTATATTATTAGTTAAATTTTTTAAAATCCTGTAGGAATATTGAAAATTGTTTAATATTTTTTTAAAACTGACACCTAATACATACACCGCTGCAAATTTGTGTATGTATGAACGCGCACATTACATAAAATGTATTGAAAAATTCATTCCATGAATCATTAGGGTTCAAATTGGTATGTATTGCATATGAAAGTCAAAATAAAACCCAATATCAATGTGGATCACTATTATTTTAATTAATCCACTAACCAGTACCTAGCTATATAGAAAAAGACAAATTTTCTAGACTTATTTATACAAATTTCTAACAGAATTTTACTCAACTATTCCTTTTTTAGTACTTTTTATATGATGCGTGCATGTATCCTGATGTGTATTGTTTTTTTTTAATTTGTAACAAGCGTTTGTATATATGGCTCTTATATATTGAACTAAAGTATTTAAAATGGAATTAAATTAATGGAATATTAAGTAGAACATGAAAAAAATGAATTTAGTTTCATAAATTAAGACTGGAAAAAACATTGTATAGACTTCAGCTTACTCCCTCCTTTATTTGTAAAAATGTCCAAACTCTTATAAACGTATTTTGGTTATTGAAGTGTTTTCTCTCTTTTTTGGGCTAAATTCTCAATTTGAAAGACAGTGACAAAACACTTTGATAGCTAAAATATGGTTGTAAGACGTTTTATGAATAAAGGTGGGGGGTTGGTATATATGTTTTTGTTACCTCACGCATGAAAGAGAATGAGATGCAGGGTGTTGCTGTCTCATTCTGTCTCAAGCAGGGGACAGCGAATTAAGCCCATTTTGTATATGTGTTTTGGGTATGTATGTATATTTTTATTACTAAAATACTTTATTTTAATATATCTAAGCGCCTTTGTATATGTAAAATACTAGTCATATAGTCCACACATATATTAGGTTTAGTAGGCCCGCCGCCCGGCGTCGCTTACTGTACCAAGTCTAGACTAATCCATAGTTTTCTTACTATTGTATAAACTTTTGATACAGTTTCAAATTTGTACAAATTATTCCAAGTACAGTGATAAGTTTTATTAATTTTATCACTTACATATTGATTTATAGCTCGGATCAATATCTGACATATGATATACATATATAATGTATTAATTAAACCCGGCGTTAGTATTTATTAATAGGATCTCAAAATTATTTGTTTTTGTAGAAAAAAAAAATTTGATTTAATTTAAATGATATTCAGATCCACTGTTTGAACACTCTCCGAATGGAATGAATCATTTCCATCATAACCTATATTATATTTCTTATTTTAAAAATGTTTAAATTCAAACAGATTGTAAGTCTGATAATTTACTTACACTAGAATTAATGTGTAAATAATTATTGTAATTTGTAAGTTTAGACGTAGATTGCAAAATACATGTTTGTGTACATGTTTTTATGTACACGCCAATGGACATTTATTAAATGTATTTCAGGGGTTACTATACTGTTAAATATATAGGATCATATGTATGGGTCATAGATACAAGGTTGGGATCTCAGTCGTTTATTAGTGAACGATATAGACATTGTAATGCAACATTTATATGTTTTTAACCATATTTATTATACATAATTTAAATGTAAAGAATTTTAAATACACTTAACGCCATCTCTTGGCGATTAGGTTACTAAAAACTGGTTTATTATTTCACATACAAAAATAAGAGTTAACTATAAGTAGATATAATTAAAGTTATTTTAGATTTAAATTATTTTGTGATAAACATGTTATATTTGAAAATAACATGGTATAACATGTTATTTTCAATATGGTAATTTGGTAAATTAAATAAGATTATTATATATTTAACGGTATATAAATAATTCCCTTCGTGATCTATTAATGTAATTTTGTTAATTTAGTATAAATTCAATTGTAAGTTACATGTTACTAACAACTGTGTATTGTAAGTCACATGTAACTTACATGTATAATTCGAGACTTACAATGCTCATTTAGAGCGGGTATTATTATTATTATTATATTGCACTTAAATTGTAAATATTTTGTACTTTAACACATTATGTATTTAAGATTAATGTTTAATACGATTTTTTGATATTATGTGATAGATTTGGATAAAGAAATGGTCTGTATGCAATTGTAAACTTGTTTTTGGTAGTTTTTGCAAAAAAAAAAATCATTATTGATACTTTTTTAATTTGATATTGGCTGTTGTAAGTTACGCTTTAGTAAGTAAATTGCCTATGATTTCCTACCCTGCCATCCGCAGTGTAGTTGGCATACTTCGATATGTGAACAAAGCTGATACAAATCAGTACCCTTCCTCTGTAATGACTAATTTGAATGAATAATTTGACGCAAATTCAGACGAATTGTGTACCTCCTCTTTTTGGAGAGTCGTTTCAAGATTTTTACCTTTGTTTTCGTTATTTTTGCCATCAAATTCGTAAATTTGGAATAAAGATTTTTCATTTTCGAAATTGCTATCCTTTAAACAATGTGGATTTTTTTTTCTTTGTTTGTTTAAATTTTAATACATAGTCTAAATACATGTTCACATGTGACAGACAACACCGGACGGTGTTCTTTACAAGTCAATCATTGGGCAAACCGAGAAGTGAATTAAATCTATGAATTGAGGAATAAGTTAACATATTTACGACCGTTTCTTTGATCAAATCCGACATTTTAATCTCGATCCTTCCATAATGATTGCATCGCGTCATACCATGCCCTTGTAAATATACCTTATTTAATATTAATATATAATTTGTAAGTACGTCTGTATGTATGTCACTTTGTATGTCTGCTCCGATATTGATACGGTTCATTACAGTAACCTATTTATATTTTATACTACTAAATAAGTAAGGGCTTCCTTAAATATGTCTTTTTATTTGGTAAACAATGTCTCTTTGTCGCTGTAATTTGTTTTCCATCATTTCAGCCGTTAACTGTCCACCGCTCAATATAAGCCTTTCCCATAAGTTCAGCCAGTAGTCGCCACGCTTGGCAGGCGAGTTGGCAACCACAGTTAGACTTTTAGATATATTTTAAGAGGGATGCTGTTGCCCATCCCTCCACCATAAGCTCCCTTAGTCGGCTCTTACGACACCCACGGGAAAGGAAAGGTTAGTAACACACGGATTCAATGAAAAAATAACTAACTGCTAAGAACTATTTATTTATTTTCATCGTGCCTCCGAACAAACTGTTTATAATTACTCCTCTCCATCCAAAGGTTGCCTGCAAGAGATCGCTCTTAGCGATAAGGCGCCCACTGTTTTCTCATTGTGATTATTTCTTGTAATTGTTTATATTTATAATAAGTTTACTATTGTAATCTTATGGGGGAAACAATAAAGAGTATCTATCTATCTATTTATACCATAACATAAAATTGTTTTGTTTTTTTCTGTAATAGTTTTAACAAAACATGGTCAGTTTCTCATCGAGTTGTATTGAAGGAGACTGTAGTGTTTTATATTTTTATTTATTTATTTATTTATACTTTTTTGTGCACAAAAAAATTACATTTATATAATAATATATATTATATAATACATTTTAATATTTGCACGCCTAATTATGACGAAATATGAGGACTTATTGTAACATCTATACACTTACCATGTTTCTTGTAAATAAATAAAAATAAATTAATTAAATAAATAAAGGTGTACAACAGGCGAGCTTAACTCTGTAAGAGAGTTCTCTTCCAGCAAACCCTGAGTGGTAAGGAGCATTAATTACCAGCGGGCAGTGTGCGTACAATGAGAAGTGGTAACAGTATAGTTGTTTCTATTAAGAAATAATAAAAATGTTTGATTACTGTTATATTTTTATAGTTTTTTTTTTTTTTTTTAATAATAGACGGTTTATTTATTTATTGCAGATCCTTTATTTATTACTCAGACGGCCATTATTGCACAATACTATTTAATCGACCAATCAGTGTCCGCCTCTAGTGATGTCCCATATACACTAGTGATGTGATCTTACAACAATTAAATAAACATGCTATTATTGTTTACCAAATAATTAAAAGAAGGTAAAAACTTGACCATAGACTAAATTACGATAGATACGATTTATTTATTTATTTATTTATAGGATCACCAACTTAAGATACAGCGAAGCATTTCAATACAATACACTAGTGGATTAGATCTAACTGTTCCTACATTTATAGACAACCACAGCATGCTTTGTGTTTGATAAACATTAATTCAATTCGGCATGCATGACAAAGACTAAGATGCCAGATATTGTTGTTTCGTTTTGTCACGTTAATAGCGAAAACGTGTCTACCGTTCGTTGATAGTAGACAGAACTGTGGATGAATTGTATAATTATTTTGTATGGATTGGCTGGGAAATTGGAATGCATATAAATAGGTTATTGTAAATGAGTAATCAATGACAGAGGAAATCGCCTTGTATTTTCCTGTAACTTCCTCTAATACTTCCCATGTGTAGTCTCGGTAGTCGGAAGTATAGAAAAATATGCCTCATCTTCCCCCCTTCCATTCCTTTCCCCCTCCAACATTGTAGCGAGCCATATATGAGTCATATTTCCGTATTCAATTTATATATATTTTTTTATTGTCAGTCTCCATTGTGTAAAGGCAGGCAACACTGATTTGCGAAATAAAATCCCGAATTCGACTCCTGGTCGCGTCAGTTGCAATTAGTGATGTATAAAGCAGCCAGGAAAAATATGGAGTTATGACCATTTTCCTGTGAATGGAACATTGTTTATTTAATTAACCAATGTTGTTTTCATTATATTAGCTCTTAACTGATTACTGCTACCAGTCTAACTGCCCACTGTTGGACATAAGCCTCTCTTATAAGGAAGGTTTTGCCAGTAGTTGGCACGTTTGGCATGTAGATTGACAACCGCAGTTGGACTTTGGATGTTTTAAGAGAGATACTGCTGGCTAGCTCTCGTCCTCCCTTAGTCGCCTCTAACGACAGCCACGGGAAAGGAAGTCGTAGCCTATTATATGCCATGATGTTTTTTTTAATCCTTCCTAACCTTAAATCATTAAAAATTGTAACTATATAACAATTTTTTTTTATAATTCCGACTACAATTATTTTTAATTTAGAGCCGCCATTCACGATCATTGTGTTGCCAGTTATAAGAAATATTGTTTAAAAGTGAATAAAATAGCTGCTAGGTTCTTTGTCGATATTTTTTTTTCTTTTATGTCATAATTAAAGAAAAAAGACTTGTTTACAAATAGTTTGCAAGAAATATACAATGATTTGTGGAACATTTTTTTTTTTATTTTGTACACTGTTATTTAAATAAAAAATATATGCCAAGTATATTTACGAATTAAATTTAAAAACTTATACCTATGTATTCGTATGTACCGCACAACTAATATTATTTCCTAGGAATCCCTATGTCCAAAATGGCGGCAAATGATTAATGTCTTAGTCTTAGATTACATAGATAGAGCATCAAGCCTCAAAAACGGGTCAACTTTTTGTCAGCTAATTGTCAAATTAGCTGACTCGTTTTTTTTTTTTATAAGCATTCTGTGTACTTACGCATAAAATGTATCGTGACATATTATTTAATGAATGAGTGTTTACGCATTAAAAAGATGCAGATATTTTAAGACAAAATAAATATAGAAGTTATAAAGGAATCACTCATAACTATTTATCACGCAAAATTGTATGAAAAAGTTGATCCGCTTTTCTCGAAGCATTTGTATGGAGACACTCTATCTGTATAATCGAAGTTCTTAGTCTAACATTTCTAATTATAAATTTAGTTGTTAAGTGAAACTATTAGACTGATTTTATTAGTTTACTCAATTGATTTGTTTGTGAACGGCTGCACCCATTAGGTTAGGGGCTGGCTACAAGAAATGTCCATAGACAAATTTGCGACAGTTTAAATAAAAATAATGTATAATAATAATTAATTTATTTACCAGAAATATAGTAACATAATAAGATGTTACAATTTTTTTTTTATATTCAGTTTTTGGCCATAGTCAATAGCATGCAAATCTTTGTACGTATATAGTTTACACAATAATTGACAAAATTAAAGAATTGAGACATCTAAATATAAGGGAATATTCTGAGGTCCACTTTTCTAAAGTTATCTCTTATCCATTACGTTAAAAAAGGCGAAATTTTTAATTTGATACTTTACTGAAATTAAATTAATTATTTCTTTATTGCACTTGAACAAAATATACAGCGATTAGTTGAACGGCTTGTTAGCAAGGGTGAGCTTATCTCTAAAAGAGGTCTCTTCCAGCCAACCCAGTGCAGTCAGAGAGAAAATCATTACAATAATTTGCACTTATACCTATTAGAAAATTAGTACATATTAGTTCTAGTAATAAAAAGTCGATTGCTCGGGTACCTCTGTCCCATTCGTGTTTCAACCGTGAAGCAGTTGTGTTTGCATGGCTGTGTTTCGGTTTGAAGGGTGGGATATGGCGTGAATTTACAGGGTACAGAGGAATAACACCTGAGTCCTCAGGAATGGCAACGCATGGGAGGTATCATGGGCGAAATAGTATACTCTGTTATGTCCATGGTACTGAAAGAAGAAAGAAAGAAAGAAAGAAATAATTTAATCAAAAGAAACATGCGGCCCACACAGTAGCGCACAAAACAAAAACAAAAGAAATCAAAAACAAAACAAACAAAAGAAAATAATAACTGCTCATGTCTATAGGCGACGGTTACCACTTTCCATCAGGTGGGCCGTCAGCTTGTTTGCCATTCTAAGTTGAATAAAAAAAACTTCGATATGATATCAAATTGAAATATTAATTGAAGAGATAGGTTTAGAGATATGCCGCCTCAGAATCGAACTCAATGTCGTTTATTCTAAACCGATTTTAATGTTTATTTTGAACATAAATGATTATTCTAATGTTTATAACCTTTTCGATATATATTTGGCACGTCTGGGGTCTGTACTAGAGGAATGGCTTTCAGCGTATTTTTTTTGCTAATTAAAAAGACATTTTTTATAAAAAGACTTTGAAGTTCGTGGAAGTTCTCTCGTTGACTATTTCGCTAATAGTTCCCACTTGGTTTACATAAATACGGTCGTTCTAGCCGAATGATTAGCAAATCTATCAGTACATGAGATTACGAGAAAGATCAAGACGTGGGGCGTTGCTGTCTCGTTCTTTCTCATGCATGCTGTGGCGAAAACATTCTATTTGCTCTCGACTTAAGCAACTATCTCGTGTGATTGAATTAAACATAACT